AATAATAATAATAATAATAAACCTTTTCAATGAGCGCGACGAACTTGTCATTGAGTCCAACCAAGTCGTTCTTCTCCTTGGATTTTCCCGATGAATCGACTCTGTCGGTCGGGACGCTTCTGAGCGGCTTCTTGCTGCTGGGGGAGTAGGACTGGCTGCTGTAGTCTCTTGGTTTGGACATACTGAAGCTTGAAGCGAAGAGCTGGAGTGTGGCTGAACAGGTGAGGGGAGAAGGCGCCTGCAGCCCTGCAGATCACCTTCTTTATAGGTGGACAGGTACAACCCCTCACCTGCCCCAAACTCTGCGTGCGTCCAATCACGAGAGGACAAGTGCGATATTAAATGGAAAGGTCAACGTGAAATACTTGAATTTCGACTCTAAACCAGTTTGTCCAGGAGCACCGGGGCCAATGGCGTCTCTGGGGGGCGGATTCGTGCGTAAAAACAAGTATAAGAACTACCTGCATCCTCCATCAGGCGCCTTAGACGCTCGGTGTCAGTGTCTGCTCTCTCCCGCTCTTTCATCCAGCAACGATCATCATGCCTTCAAACAGCGCTGCCAGCATGTTTGGTGGAGCCGGGGGAAGGGGTGCCAAGGCGTCCGTGTCGACCCTGGATGGGCTGCGCAAAGTGCTGGGCAACCAGACAGAAAAAGATTCGGTTCCCATCCATAAAGCTGCTGCCAAGCCCGTAGCCTCCCAGGCTCCGAGCGCCCCGGAAACTCCCGTCGCTCCCGGTGACGACAAGCAGACACTGCGGACCCTGAACAATCGGCTGTCCGGCTACCTGAACAGAGTGAAGCAGCTTCAGGAGGAGAACAACGATCTGCAGAAAGAGATCGACGACATCCTGGCCAAGAGGAAAGTACCCGAGGGGCGTGATTGGGATGGAATCCTGAAACCCCTGGATAACCTCAAAAGGGAGGTGGGTCAGATTTCTTTCTTTCTTTCATTCTTGGAATTAACATGCAAATAAATTTCTGACTATACTTTCTTTAATGTAATCTTAAATTCTAACAATTAATGCATTTCCTTATTTGATCAGATCAAAGACATCACAGATGACAATGCAAAGCTGCTGCTGCAGATTGATAACAGCAGACTGGCAAATGAAGACTTCAAGAACAAGTGAGTGTGAATGCCGTCCAGACAAGGGCTCAGAAAATAAAAGACACTTTGTAACAGCAACATAGCATTTGTAGCGTTTGTGAAGTTTGAAGCCAGGCTCCTTCTGTTGATGCAGGCTGGATGATGAGAATAAGGCATGCAAAGAATTAGAAAAGGACCTGGAGGATCTGAAGAGGGCCAAAGATGATACCAAACTGAGCTGCGACCAGACGAGGGAAGAGATCAAAATGGTTAATGATGAGCTTGAGCGTCTCAAGAGCGAACACAAGAAAGTAAGGAGGAAAACCAGCATGTTAAAAGTCACACGCTCAGCGCTGTATTGTGTGAAACTTGTAACTTGTGTTTGTCTTGCAGGAGGTTGATTCTCTGCTTGAGAAGATCAAGGACTCAGATGTGACAGTGGAGATTAAGTCCCAGGACAACAACCTGAGTGACGTTGTCCAGAATGTCCGCAGACATTATGAGAAAGTGGCTGAGAAGAACCTGAAGGAGGCAGACGAATGGTACAAAGACAAGGTATGGAAGATTAAAGCTGGGAATGATGTGCTTCCTTGTCTCAGTTTATCTCACTGTTTTCATCATATTATTTCTCCCCCAGTTTGAAACCATCAAGGTGGAAGAGGCCCAGAATACTGAGGCCTTGGAGTCTGGAAAGAGTGAGCTCAAAGATCTCCAGAAACAGAAGCAAACTTTGGAAATTCAGATTCAGACCAAGAACAACAAGGTAAGCGCACAAGAGTGAATACAAGACTGTACAAATGCAGTACATTACAAAATCATGCAACACAATCTCAGTATCAGGACAAGATTGACGTTTCTCTTTTGTAGACACAGAAACAGAAACATGAACAAAATATCAATATCGAGTATTCTTAAGGTTTGTTTTTCATTGGTAGCTGCGCACTGTGGAGCAAACCCTGAGAAACATCAAAATGGAGTATGGTCATCGCCTGGAGCCATCCAACAAGATCATTCTGGGGCTGCAGCAGGACCTCGGAGACGTGAGGGAACAGGTGGAGCTGCAGCTAGACGCCAACAAAAACCTGCTGTCTGTCAAGCTGAAGCTGGAGAAGGAACTCGAACAGTACCAAGAACTTCTTTCACGCTTATTTGATGATGTTGAAAGGTAAGGATGATGGCAGGTGCATCCTGTTTACTTTTAAACCTGTTGCGGGTATAAAACAGGTTTGCCTGCTGGCAGAACAGAGTGTCTGTTTAGTCATGTGGTGTTTTACCTCCATACATAATAAGTAAAACACAGCACTTTTACCCAAAGGACTGACATCTTATATGAAACCAGATCTTTAGATCTGCTGTAATTTGTTTAATTTAATTCAGTTAGTTAAAGAAAATGAAAATAAATCTTTAATAAATTTGATTATTTGTTAAAAGCATTTCTGGCGAGGGCAGTTGGTAACAATATAGCTATAAAATAAGTAGTTCAGAATGAAAACAGAGGCACTATTCTCTTTATATTTCCTGTATTGTTGCTTTAAGGTGAAACCACGTTGTGTTTTAATGTCTGTAATTTCCTGGTAAGGGCTTTTTTTAGCCGGCAAATCTTTACCTAATGTAGTTTTGCGGTTCAACATTAAGGGAAAACACCATGTGAATGTTGGCAGTGTGTGCTTAGTTCCCACTTGGTGTGTTAGCTCTTTATGCTTTTCTTCCCTGACAGCGCAGAGTTTGCTTTAACGGATGCAATACCGCAAGGTAAGTTTGGGTTCTGCCAAGAAAAAACAAAGTTAAATCACAATGAACGTGTCTGTCACGCATCCACGTGCCGAGACCTGATCAGCAAGATTCATATCGCTAAACAAGACTTGGGTCAGTTACTGCCTATGATGCTTTCAGTTTGGTCTGACTCCACTCCAACAGGAAACAAAGTAAAGATACCAGAATCTGACCCTTGTCTTCCCTTTAGAACTGTAAATGTGAACAAAAATAAGAAATTACAGAAAAATAGTAAATCAAAAATAAAAATCTAAATGCTACCTTCGCATCACTGCGGGCTGAGTTAACAGTTTTGGGAAGTATGCTTACTGACTTTCTTGCCAAGAATTAGATGAGAAGGTAGTTACAAGTCTTACTTTAGTCCCTTAAGTATAACTAGCAGACAGTTAGCTTAACTTAGCTTAGCAAAAAGAAAATAATGAATCACCTACTTAGATACATTCATATACATACACACATATATACATACATATATGTGTGTGTGTATATATGTGTGTGTGTGTGTACAAATAGCTGTGTACCATGGAAGCTGATTTCTGCTACTATAAAAAAGTCCTCCACAAAATTTGGATTAATGTTCAGTTGGCCAATTCAAAATTTCAAGTTATTAAATTGAAATTTCAAGATACATAACTTCAAATTTTGAGGCATTATGTCAAAATGTTGAGATAGCTAACTTGAAAATTTGAGTCATCAAAATTTCAAATTGTGAATATTAAGTCAGATTTTTTGAGATATTAACCAAAATTCTGAGTTGAATTGATTTTGTACCTGAAAATTTGAAATTTTAGTTATTTACTTGAAATTTCAACATACCTCATTTAAAATTTCAAGTTTAGTCAAAGTTTTGGGATGCATAACTCAAAGTTTGAGTAAAGTTGAAATTTGAAATTTTGAGTTATTTATTTAAAAAAAATTGAGACTCTAATCTGAAAATTTGAGTGGTCAAAATTTCAAAATACTGAGTCATTAAGTAAAACTTTGGAGATATTAACCAAAAGTCTTCACCTTTTTTCTTTTTTAGTAGCAGAAAAAAGCTTCCATAGTGTCACCCACTGATACTTTTGGTGCCAACACTAACTAGCATTAGGCATCAGCAAGGAAGAAAGTAAGCACATTTCCCAACATTTCTAAACTACCTCTTTAAAGCTAGCCGCATCACTAAAATGCACTAGACCATTGCAATAACACCATATTTTAACTCTACATCTTAATCCAATGAATAATTATTTTCAAAAGCTAATCAATCACCATTAAACCAAATATTTTTGATTCTCAGCAAACTCATAAACAGGTAACAGGAACTAACAGACTAAAGGCATATTTGTAACCTCTAAAATATGTCTTTTTGTTTACAGGGCAACAAACTAAAGAAGATGACGTTCCGGAACAGGGTGAAATAATAAAACAAGAAGTAGTTGCAAAACAAGAAAGCGCTCCCTCTAATCAATCAGCCCCCCCAGAAGCTCCTGAAGTGGAGGAGGAACCCCCCATCCAGGCCGACTCAAATGCTAGTAGCAGGGAAGAGGCTGCAGTCAGCAGCTCTGCTAAAAAGAAGAAATCTAAAAAGTCCAAGAAGTCCAAAACTAAGAAGGATTCCTCCTCCTCCTCTTCTTCCTCCTCCTCTTCTTCTTCCTCCTCCTCCTCCTCCTCCTCTTCCTCCTCCTCTTCTTCCTCCTCTGATTCCGAAAAGGAAGAAGAAAAGCCCGTAACTGAGGGTGAAGCGGTGACAGCTTGATCTTAAATGCTTTCTTTTTTTTCAGTTTGGTTATTTTCTTTTTCTGCTGTTCAGCAAATTAAAACTGCCTTCTGTACTGGTGCTGTCAAACCTGTAAAGTTACTCTGAGGTGCTGTTGTGGTTTATGTTCTCAGCTGTGCATGAAATAAAAAGATGTGGTTTTGAAAGACAAATGCTCAGCAGCGTCTTATTGATTTATTCTTTCATACATGAATTACTTGGCAGTTACTGCAGTGATAGTGCAGTCACTCAGAAAAAGAGGATCACAAATTGGAATAAGTTTGATCTTCACAGACTAAAGTTCATTTTTATTTCAAACATTTCAAACATGTGCCTTCACAATCATTACAAAATATCATTCCATTATTTGTTTGAAAAGGAGTAGGCAGAAGTATTTACTTATTTGTCCCTACCCCCTCAAGTTTTACCTCTCATTCATTTATTTATTTTTTTGTCTTAAATAAAAACTTTAGTCTTCACAGACTAAAGTTCATTTTTGGTGCCTTAAAACTCTTAATGTTCAGATATGCCCAGTCACTATAGCTTTAGCAACAAGAAACATCCTCAAATGTCTTTTAGAAAGTCCACCAATGCTTCAACCCAAAGCTTATACAGTTTGCCATAAGGTAGGACAGAAAAAGAGCAAAATATTCACATTTAAGAGCCATTTGCCATCAAATGTTTGCTTAACAAGTATCCCTCTATCTCATCTGTGAAATTAGATGAACAAATAGTAAAAACAGATGTGGCAAAAATAGATGGTTGAAAGAAATTCATCAAAAACATTGTTATGAATACAAATTCAAACAAACTCACTTATATGTGCGTCTGTATCTGTTTTCATTTATTTACTATCATGTAAACTGATATTGTAAAAGAGCAGTCATTTAGTCTTTTTATTACCAAGAGCTTTGATACAATTTATGTTTAAGTTTGCATTTAAACATCATAATAAACCAAAAGTTTCATGAAAGGCAGAGATTTCTATGCTTTATTAAGTACACCTTGGAAGTACTGGGTTGGACCCCTTTCGTGTCCTCAGAACATCCTCAGTTATTCGTGGCACAGATTGAACAAGGTGCTGGAAAAAATCGTCAGAGATTCTGGTCCAGCATCTTACGGTTTGTCTGCTGCACGTCCATGATGTGAATTTCCTGTTCCACCGCATCCCAAAGATGTTTTCTTGGCTTTGAAGTGAAGTCATTATGTTGAAGAAAGCAGTTTGAGTTGACTGATGGAAGCAGTGATCAGGAGATGGGTACACTGTGGTCATAAAGAATGGACAATATTTCTCAGGTAGGTCGTGGTGTTTAAAGGATGTTCAGTTGGAGCTAAGAGCTCAGAAGTGCAAAGGTACCAAGCACCATTATCCATCTCCAGCAGCTTGAATGGACCCAAGCTTTAATGTTGTTTACACCAACCTACTATTTGAAGGTTTGAAACTAAATCTAGACTTATCAGACCAGACATACTCCAGTTTTGGGGAGCCTGTGTAACTCATGTTTTTAGCTAACAGGAGTGGAACCCAGTGTGGTCTTCTGCTGCAGCCCACCCATTAGCTGTGATTTTCTCCACATCCAGAGATGCTTTTCTGCATTCCTTGGTTGTAACAAGTGGTTATTTGAATTACTGCTGCCTTCATTTCAGCTCAAAGCAGTCTGGCTGTTCTCCTCTGGCAGCAACATTTTGCAGCTCACTGTGTTTATTTTCTGTTGTTCAGACCATCCTCTGTAAACTCCAGAGTTGGTTGTCTGGGAAAAATGTCAGTAGATTAGCAATTTCTAAAATACTCACCAACAAGTGGTTTGTATCATATCTATCTAATAGACTCCAGTTTGT